CCCCGCGACTGGCCAGCGGCGCTGCGCTCCGCGTACCCCAGGACACAGCTGACCCTTGTGGCTGCGAGGTGACCCTGCTGACTAATTCAGCCTGCCAGCAGCTGAGACCCCTGGATCTATTTCCACAGGGCTTCTCTGCAGCTCCTTGTCCCCCAAGGACACGTTGTAAAGGACAAGTTTTTTAGTTTGTAAAAATACAGGAAAATGTCTCCAGTTTTTAGTTTTAGGAGAGAACAGCTTTGTGAATGGTGTGCGTGCAGTCTGCGTAGATAAACAGAACAACACTTCCTCTGTTATTTGGGTGTGATCAGAGACTGCCTCCCATGTGCTGGTCGTGTGTGTGTGTGTGTGTGTGTGTGTGTGCACGTGCGTGCAGAGGACAGGGCTGCAATCATTCTCTGTCATTTCAGCAAAAACTGTTTTGTGGTGTGGTCTGGTCGGGTGTACTGGGTCTTCTGGGATGGAGTGTTCCACAGTGCTTTGCAATTTTGGCCAGGTGACATTTTGGCTACTGCTGAGCAGTGCTCACACAGCTGTAAGGCTGTCTCTCTAGGTCCCACCAAGGCTGGTGGGCTGGGAGTGAGCAAGAGGCTGGGAGGGGATGTAGCTGTGACATCTGACTCAAACTGGCCTGGGGGATGTCCCATGCTGTATGATGTTGTGCTCAGCAGTACGAGCTGGGAAGGAGGGGGGAATGCCCATGGGTGAGGCATTTGTTCTCCAAAGCAACTGCTATGTGTGCTGAGGCCCTGCCTCCCAGGAAGTGGTTGGACTTTACCTGCTGATGGGAAGCAGAGAATATATCTCCTCGTTTTGCTTTGCTTCTTGTGCACAGCCTTTGATTTCATCAATAAACCACCTTTACGTCAGCCCGGAGCTCGCCCATTTTATTTCCTTTCCCCTATCCCGTGGAGGAATGGGAGCAAGAGGGCAACGGGGTGGCAGGTCTGGCAGCCAGCCATGGTCAACCCACTACATCTTGCTAATTTTAAAAAATATTATTAACCTTTTCTTTAAGTCGGTGTTGTGCACTTACTTAGTTTGTCCACTTTTGCAGTGCTGCTTGTGTTCTTGTTCTGTGTTTTTGTAGAAATCTGTAACTGCTATAATGGGGATAGAAATACAAGAAGAGCACTAAAATAACCTGTAATGTCTTGAGAATATCAGCAGAGCTACTGCAGAGCCAGCAATCATACATGCCTTATTGTCACATCAACATCTAAAACCAACGCAAAGCTTTTCTTGGAAACCCGAGGAACAAAGTCTCTTAATATAATTTAGATACCTAAAGTGCTTGGGTTTTGACATGTTTCTTGTTTAAGGTATTCAATCTCTCATAGCACTAATGCAGAGTTCTCTCTCTTCCTTCCTGTCAGGATCTCTACAAATCCGCTTTCTTTTATTTTGAAGGCATCTTTTATAATGATAAAAGATACCCAGAGTGCAGAGACCTGAGCAGGTACAGTATTTGTAAATGTTGACTAAGGAAAACTTTAAGGGATGTGAAATTTATTAAATTTTTAAATGATTTTTTGGGTTTTAAAACTAGAATGTCTCATGTGTGAAGCTAGAATCGACTTTTCTTATGATCTTTTCAAGTTGAATTGATTTCTACATAGAAGCTTATCTCACTTGCTCGACTTACTTCTTCCACTCTCCTCCCTTCTGAAAAGGGCATGAATGCTCCTTCTCCCCCCCTCGCATCCTGGGGATTTTGCTCTGTTGGGATGGGATCGCTGTGGAAGGTGACAGGTACCAGACTTCACTAGTTTTTGGAGTGCCTTCTCTAGTTGTGATGACCACCAAAAGGCTGACCTGTGAGACAGAAAATGGGTCAGAAAGACAACAGGCTCTGCTGTGTGGAAGTAATTTGTTCTGCTCAGTCTTGAAGAGGTGCTGAAGGACTTCCTGGTAAAGTCAACCAGGGAACTGTGTGACTGTTGGGAAAAGAAATGTGAGATGATGTTACCAGGAGTCTCAGGTGTCCCTTGTTCGGAACTATAGCTCATCCTGGCTGAACACAAGTTGTATCCATTTAAATAGTTCACTTGAAGGAAGTATGGGCTTCCTGACACACTAGTGAGATTTAGGAGATCAAGATGTTAAAATGGGTGGTATGGAAGAGCTGTGAGCTTGGACTCTTTTCTTGTAACGCCAGACTTGGTGTGTGACTTCCGAGAAATGAATTATTTTGCTCCTCCTCTTTCTGTCATCGGGACACAATGATCTTAATGGAAGTGCTTGTGGTAACACAGTTTGTAGAAGAGAAATGTCCTGTATCTAGGAGTGCGCTAAAAAGCCAAGAAATAATCACAGCACTGGCCACTGCCCTTCTAGTGCTAAATTTGGAAATCTGAGTGCACAATTGTTAACTTCATGCGTCTCCTTGGCAAAAACAACAACAACAAAAGCTTTTTAATACTTTAAAACAAGGTTACTGACCAAGGGAGCAAAAGTGACCTGCTGGTAACTTGTGTGATTGGAACTGTTGAGAAGTGGTGTGCTGCAAACAGCTTGACCTGGTGTTGGTGCCTGCAGGAGCATACGCTGGCTGGCACTCCTAAGGAAGCTGCCTGATGGGGATTTAAAGGCAGGTGTTCCACAGGAGCAGTGCACAGTTCTGTGGGTTTGTGATATTGCTGTGAAATTATCTTAAATTATTGTAAAATGTTGTGAGCTGTTTTGATTTCCATCTTTTTAACTGGGTTCCAGTGAAGAGTTTTGCATGTCTCCCAAGGCCTTTCTTTTCTGTTTATTCACAGTCTTTAGCGTTGCTACACTGATCACCTTTCTGTTTTCAGAACAATTATTGAGTGGTCAGAATCTCATGACAGAGGCTATGGAAATCTTCAGTCTGTTAAAATGGAGGACTACACATTTAATGATCTGTCCCTCAAAATTGGCTTTCCATACCTTTTCTGCCACCAAGGGAACTGTGAGCACATCATTATCATAACAGATATAAGGTAAGCTGCTGGCCTTTGAGAGTCCTCAGGCAGCTGAAAGCAAGCTGCCTGTAGGCAAGCTTCAGGCATTAAGTGCTGAATATTTGTTAGGCTAACCTTTAAGATTATTCTGCTGCCTTCTGCAGGGCTTATTTAAGATTTCATTCCACATACACGTAATGAAGTGATCTCCCTTGCATTTTTATTTTTAATAATTTGTATGCACAAAGAGACTGCTTTCTAGCTAGCACAGTGTGACAATGGTACGGAGGGAATGGCACCCACAGTGAGAAGCTCTTTCTATGCAAAACCAGTATGTGGCAGGTTTACACACTGATTCTGGAGCACCAGGGAGCAGAATGCTGTTAATGGCTCTGACTGAAGTCAGCTGGGCTTGTTAGTTTAGGCTTGGTGCTAAGGGATGGGAACTGAAAAGAGAACAAAGAGGTGGAAATAGTGGGCTGAGGTGGATAGACAGGGAGAGAAGAATGAGGTGTTAGCAACCACATCCATGGTAGAACTCTTGTGTATACCCTGCTCAGTGCATAACGGGTAGAGAGAGCACTCCTCTCCTTGTCTGCAGGAGTAACAGATCATCTTCAATTACCAGAAGCCTGATGTACTGACGTGTTGTTAATAAATGGTGCCTCCCAAGAGGAGTGCAATCCAAAGAAAAGCATAGATGTTGGAAGTAGGTGATCACAGGATTATGAGCCTCTCAACATTCACCTGGTGGCATTTTTTTGCCTGTTAGTCTATGTAGCAGACAAAAGCTTTGAAAAGACCATCTAAGTAGATGGTCAGAAGACTTCTGCGTTACTAAACAAACTGAATTTACTTCTGACCATAAAACCCATAGATGGTGCAACTGGCAGTGTATCTCCAGGTCTTGATCTGTGTTAAATGCTAAGCAGAAGTCTAGTCATAGTTTACAGAGAAATTTAGATCATAGCGTATTGTCAGTGTCCATGCTTATGTTCAGATAAATAGTGATGTGGCCGAGTCTTTACTATATTTTATGTATTTATTTATTTTCCTCAAGGCTCATTCATCATGATGACTGCCTGGACAGAAACCTCTACCCCTTGCTAATCAAGAAACACTGGTTATGTACCAGAAAATGTTTTGTGTGCAAAATGTACACAGCCAGGTACACTATGTTCCTGATCCTTTTAAGCTGTCTTCTTAAATAAGTCTGTCTAGGTGTTGCTACTAACCAAAAAAAAAAAAAAAATCAAAGCTCTGTATGTCTTTGATAAGGTGTGTGGGTCATGTTCATGCAGTATTCTGAAACCTTACTCGTCGGGCACTTGTGTGTTCCTCTACACAGGATAAGCCCTTCTGCAGGTAGTGTTCATTCACTATGATCCAGGTGATGATTCAGGGTGATGAAAAAACTGAAATGTTGAAGAGGTTAATTATTTGGCTCAGATTCTTTTGCATATATAGTGCTCAACTCTTAATCAGTTACTTTTGAAAGTGTAACTTTTTGGGGAAAATGCTGTGTTTTTCCCCTATGACAGACATGTGATTCAGATTAATTTACCAGAAGTTGTACAGAGCTTTCGTTAAACCTAGCACCTAAGTAGAGGGAAGTATGTTCTCTCCAAATTTAATGCAGTAAAATCTAGAGCTTTTTAAAAGGCAGGTGGCTTTCCCCGCCAGTGAAGGCTTACTCCCTGCCTGAAAGCTGTGCTCTGTGCTTGAAGGGGCTCTGTGGCATGCTCAGAGTTCTTGCAGTTAGGAGAGCAGAATGAGGCTTGATGGGGCTCTGAGTAACCTGATCTAGCTGAATACGTCCCCGATTACTGCAGGGGCTCGGACCAGATGACCTTTAAAGATCCCTTCCAACCCAAAGCATTCCATGATTCTATTAATTTGTGCTTTTTGCACACCCTTGTGTTGTTTACTTAGACATGAGAAAGCCTTTCAGTAGACACAGTAGAAATTTCTGTAACGGAGTTCTATGGACTAGGCTAAACTCCCTGATTTTATAGGTCTAAATGATTTATTTACAAAAACACCACTGCCCTTTTTCTCCCCCAGGGCAGCTGACACCCTCAGCCTTAGTTTGACGTAGGAGCTGTGTCCTTGTTGTCTTCCTCATTTAGCCTTAGACTCCCCAGGAATCAGGCAAAGAGCCAATCCCCCTTGTGATGGAGCCCATCCCAGTGTTCCTAGCAGAGCCCCTAGGACGCCTTCTTCACAAGTGGCTGTAAACTGTGAGGCATTTGGCCATAAGGGGGGGTGGAGCCAAAGGGTCATTGTGGGGGAAAGATGGAATGGGGAGGGCATTACCAGAGGTGATGTAAATGCATTAAATTAAAACCAGGATTAAGCACTAAGCTTAAGTGGGGAGATGCTAAACCGTGGACAGCAGAGCTGCTTTGGCTGGCTGTCCTGCATGTTCTAATCTGTGCAGATAGCATCTCTAATCACTAGAGGCCCTGAGCTGTCATGGCCTCGGAGTGCTACCATAAATTAATTGCTTGGTGACATGGCAGGCCTTCCTTTTACTGGCAGTGTTCACAGTAACCTCAGCGCTGAGATATGAGGCAGTTTCCTTGTGGGCTTGTCTGCATCATCCAGGCCCTTCTATTAGACTTGTCAAGAAAGGAACTCATTTGTTACTCAGAGTAGTTTGAGTCAGTTGTGTCTGCTCTGTATTACAGTTTCTTACCTTGAGGCAGAACAGACCTGTCCTCTGTGGCTCCTGATGCTCAGAGCTTGTCCAGCTCTGAGTAAGGTGTTGAGATGTTTGTCACACATGTGTTGGACTCACATGGGAAACACTTCTCTTTTGTACCCTGCAGGTGGGTAACCAACAGCGACAGCCTGGCACCAGAGGATCCGTGCTTCTTCTGCGATGTTTGTTTTCGTATGCTCCATTATGATGCAGAAGGCAATAAGCTGGGAGAGTTTCTTGCATATCCTTATGTTGATCCTGGGATTTTCAACTGAAACTGAGGTGAGACAGAATGAATTCAGTGAGCTACACTGGTGAATCTGCTGCTCTGGCTGTTAAAAACACCAGACAGCTTGAGTTTTGAGCATACTGCTGGGTTTCAGGTTAGGCTTTTAACCCTCTCCCCTGAGGTGGAAGGAGCTCTCTGCTCTTGAAGTCTGTCTGGTGTGCTTTTCTAAGGAAGCAAGTATAATTTTGAAAGATAAGTTAGCATGGAAAAGTATCCTCAGACATCTGTTTTAATCAGTGGCATTTTTTAATACGCTGACAGCAATACGGTAGGATGGAGGCTGTGGACTCTAATCGTGTGGATGTTTGAAGAGAGGATACCTTCCAAAAGAGGCCATGGTTTTGAGAAGTTCTCCGCATCCAAGGCTGATGTTAACATCAAAGGATGGGAACAAGGTCTTTGAGCATCTTACCTCGAAAGATACGGCAGCTGTCATCTCTGAACAAGGATGGATAGCACTGAGTTTGTGGTGAGGAGAATCCTCTGGGGAGAGAAGCTCAGCTCAGCACACTTGTGAACTTCAGAGGTCCTCCCTGCAAACAGGGGCTTGCTTGGATCAGCAAGCTGCTGGTGTCCTTGTGCCCCGACTCCACAGACTGCTTCCAGCTCTGAGGACTGATTCCGTGAAGAGTAAACTACATTTCACCCATTACTGAACTGTAGCCCACCTTTCAAAGAGCGTTGGTAGCTGTTCACAGTGTGTGCAGTTTTAATTGCTTATAGTATTAGTTCTGCAGTGGTTTATTATAGTATCATGCTGTTATTTTAAGTATTTCTTTTATCAAAACATGACCAATTTGTACTTGCCAGTCTGATGTTAAGTTGAAACTCTGCTGGCTGAGACAGAATGTACTTACCTAGTGCCTTGCTTTTTAAAGTCCTCTGGAATTCAGAGGATTGTTGTAGAGATCTTTGCTGCTTAAGAAAGCTAGTAGTGTTAAGTGGTTTTCTTTTGGAAGCTTCAGCTGGTTCTTAAACCGCTGTTTTGGCTGGTGCCAGAGACAGCTGGCTGGTGACCTGTGTACAGAAATCTGTTGGACAAACCGATTTCTCTTCAGTTCCTGTGCCTGCAGATCCTCCAAGGGCTTAGACATCTTGAAACAGAAGTGTCTTAAGCATTTGCAGGGCTCCATTCATCACTCATATGTCTGTCTGCTTTCCAGTGGTGTATGTATTAGGTCATGTAAATGTAAATCTGTGTTTTGAGGAAAAAAATAAAGGTGATTTTTTTTGGGGGTCTTTTAAGGCAGCCCATTGTTGGCCTGTGTATTTTGAAAACAGAGTAGTGAACCAAGCACTTGAAACAGCAGGTGGTGATAGTTCTCTTGCCTTTCAGGAATCTGCAGAGGGAGTGCCCTGCCCACCTCAGCTGTCACCCACTGAACTGCCAGAGCTGGGGGCTGCTTTGTGTTGCTGCGGCAGCTGCTTTAAAGATCCCCTGCAACACACAACTCTGGTGGCAACTTCAGCATTTGTGTTTTAAGTTGCTACTTTTTATCTTTTCACATCTGCCTTTTAGCTGTTGACTAGTAGGGGCTTCCCAGTCCTCTTCAGTATTGAAACTGAGACCATGTCGACAGCTGACATAGTTTCTAAAGGTATTGTTTGCTTGCTTGCTGGCTTCTTATGCTCAGTTCTCAGGCAGCAATCAGTATTCTTTTTGTGGGTGTCTTTTGGTTTTTTTCTTTCTTTAGCAATAGAGAGGGGAGTAGCCAAAATGTGAATTTATTCTTTCATTAAACTGGCTCTGACTCAGCACACTACCTTTAACCCAACCCATGTACCTTTTAAGCTGAGTGTGAGCCAACAGGGTGCGAGTGCTGGCCAGGAATCCAGCCGTATGCTGGGCTGCATCAGAAGCAGCATGACCAGCAGGTGGAGGGGGGTGACTCTGACCCTCTGCTCCACTCTGGCAAGACCCCACCTGAGCACTGCGCCAGGCTCTGCGCTCCCGCGGCACAGGTGCTGGAATATCAACCCTTTGAAGTAGCAGCATGGTTGACCTGTTATCTCTGGAACAGTTGTGAAGGACAGATGTCTGTTAGCTCATCAACACTTGTGTGAAAATTAGGTGGATTTGGCATACTTGTTAAATACGCAGTGCCTTTTTTTTTTTTGGTAAAAGGGGCTTTGATACAAAGGAACAGTCAAAATTGGCCTGTGTGAGAGTTCCCATTTCTTTTGAGTTTACGGCTTTACAGAAACACTTCTGAGGGTGAAAGTTTAGTTTCCCCAGTCAATAAAATGCATCTTGTGACCCCGCGGCACACGGTAACTGCCTGTATTTGGAGGCCAATGAGAATGCTGCTCTGGGGTGGTGCAGCTGCGTGGCCACATTAGTCTCATCCTTAACAGCAGCCTGTTGTGAAATGCTGAGATGAGTAAAACTCAAGGTCTGTGGAGGCCAAAGATCGACGCCATCTGCTGAGGAGAATGCAATGCTGGGAGGTGCCATGGCTGATCCTCTTGAGTTCAACCTGAGGTATGATCTTGCAAGATTTCAAGGCTGTACGTTGTCGGTATAGGAACCATCTCAATAGCAAGTATTTGCTCACTATGCACACGAGAAGCATTGAAATTTTAGCATTTAGTAACTACTTGTGTGTTGTAGCCTTTGTGGGGGAGATGATTGCTGCATTCAAAATCTTCACTCTATTGCTGCAACCTAAAACTTCTTTCTGTGCAGATTTCTAGCTTCCAGTAACTACAGTTCTGATTTGAAGTGGGTTCTGATTTGTAAATACAGGCTTCAGTATTCAGTAATTAGCATTCCTAAGTGCCTGCAGCTTGCTACTCTACCTTCCCAAGGCAGCCAGCATTTGTGCTTCTGTCCACTGACATAGACGATAGTGGGGTGATAAAGAATGATAAAAAACACGCTTGCATCTATGAAACTTAGAGTAAGTCCTCAATATAGTGAAGAAGTCTTCAGGAAGAACACATGAAACAAAGTCTGCTGTACAAACGCAGCAAAACAGGCTCCATAAATTCAGCTGCTGAACAGTGTTGTTGAAAGTAGCAACAAACATCCTTATGTTGGCTTTTCCGTGTTACCCAGCCTGTAAATCTGCCTCAGCGTTACAGCAAGTTTACAGATTATTGAGACCAAAAATAAACATAACTGGTTCTGCTTAAGGACAGCCTATAGAAGCACTTCACCTCTTTGAAGTGTACCTCTGTGTAAACAGACAGTGAAAAGTTGGCCAGGCTACTTCAAACAGGGACTATCAGCAGCACGTGCTCTCCAAATGAGTGGCACGTTTAGCAGGAAAAAAACAGTCGCTGTCATAGATTCTGCCAAAATTACATGGAAAAAAAAAAAGTGCAAACTAGCAAAGATGACTGAATAGTAGTTTTGGACACAGTACATATAATACTGCTTGTGCAATGACTGTCAAGATACTGGAGTTCTGATTTCAGGACTTTCATGTTTCCCCCTATGCCTCTAGTCCCTGGTGAGGATTTTTTTGTTGTTACTTAAACCAAGCAAGTGACTAGAAGGGGAGGTTGAGTTTACGGGCCTAAAACTATTACACAGTTTACTAGTCTAGTCTGTTAGGAAGAAGGGAAAAAAAAAGGCCAAAAGGCAGTGCTAGGAAAAAAAGGGTTTCATCTCTTCAGAATTAGAAGAGAATAAGGAGGAGTTCATAGTAGTACATGATTTCAATGGGAAAAAAAACCCCACATTATTCTCAAATCTGTCACTTTCAGATTCTGGAAAATGGGGAATTTTGAAAGCAGTGCTGACGTTACTGACCTTCACCTGGTCATTCTGACTGTTGAAGCTGCTTTTCCCCGTTATAGCACGTCTAGCTGCTTAGCACGGCCGCAAGAGAACTGTCAACAGATGTGAAGATGATTGTGCCAGGTTGTTGAGCCTGAAAAGGTGAACACCTTGTTTTATATATGAGAAGTCCCTTTTCTCCAAACTACCTTGTGTAAGAACAGATCAACAAGAAAAAGAACAGGATGGGCTGACTGAAGAAGCCATGGCAGCAATTTAACTGGCATTTAAGGCATGTAAACAAGAAATAATTTGACTTCCCAGTACTTGAAGACCACGCTGTTTGGGTCAGGTCATGCTGCAGTACTGAAAATTCCACCTTGTGGAATGGTGTGAGTGACTGCTTCTGAAGTGCTGGCCTCCAGCAGGCTATGGGCGTGGTTTTCTAAAAAAACCTGTTAACTAGTTAATTTTAACAGAAGCACTGGTAAAGCATGCCGAAGTTAGAAATCCCCAAGGTAATGCAAAGGCTGTTCAACTGTAGTAGTACTAAAAACAGACGTTTGTTCTTCATTAAGAACTAGTCTATCTTTTATCAGTTTTAAGTTTTTTATTTCCGTAAGTTGTTCAAGACAGTGTTTTCCAGCCAGTGTGCATCAACAGGTTCTGTGGGAAGACCACACTTCTCTCTAGTATACTTATTATACCAAAAAACATACCATAAAGTCACATTGCAGTAAATTGGCACAATGAGTTTTGCAAGGGCAGAACTAAACTCGTTTAAAAAAAGTGATTAAGTATACTCATACATTAACATTTTAATAGCTATAAAAATGCTGCTTCCAACTCCTACAAAACACAGAGAAAAGACATCCCCGTAAGGGCTGAAAAACTATGCACAAACAGAGGTCAGTATCACAGGAAGACTGGAGGTTTTATACAAATGAAGCTATAGGGCAGCTGGAAATATTTACACTTTTTCCTGCTATTAACTAGGCAAACATACAGCAGTCGGGTAAAAATATACTATAAGTCCTGTAACATGTAAGCATTTGTTTTCTAACTGGAATTCTCCTCTTCTGAAATGTGTCACCCGTTAATACTGGACAAAACTATTGGTAAAAGCATTTAAATACTTTAAAACCAATATTAGAGGGGCTTTAATTCCACAAAATTTAACTTTAAAATACTATGCTTATAAAATTATTTAAAACTTTCAGCAGTCTATAGATTTCAAATGCAAAACTTAATCCCCTTTAGTTTGTATTTTAAAAAATGACTCCAGTGGTGTCATTTGCTTTCAAAGGCAGAATCTTTTGCTGGCTTTTCAAGCTCGCCGTCTTCATCACACATCCTAGAAACGAAATAAAGGAGTGTTAGTGGCCGTGTAAAACTGCAGCGAGCGAGG